TGAGATTTTTTGGAACACGTGCAGGTACCGTTAGTGTGTTTCAGTTCCCAGGAAAAAATTCAGGGAAAATTAGGGACGGCCTGTAGGCGCACTGTGAATCGTATTCGGATCCCGAAAACAAGTAAGGACCCCTCACCATATTTCCTATCACGGTATTAAAGTTCAAAATGATAAAACGGTATTTCTTGAATTAACGCATGTGTGAAATTGCTTAAGGTTGCTTATGGAGCCCGAGTCTAGTGTGATTGATGATTTACTGTTATTTGGCCTGTTTTACAGCTTTAAATGCATTATGAGGTTTGATGTGTTCATTTTATAATTTCGAGTGCATATATTACTGTTTTATTAATTATGGGTTGAAAGACTGAAGAACTGATACTGTATGTTGTCTGTTTGGCATGAATTACGATTTGCTTGTTTAAATGTGAATTGATGATGCTTATTGAGGAAAAGGAAAATGAAAGATTGTATAGACTGATAATTGTATGATGGGGTCAGCCTGACTAGATATCCTGGGAGATGGTGGACGGACCGGGTCCGTAGGGAACCCTACCGGGATTGTGGTCTCACATGCCGGACGGGGTATGGAGATCTTATGGTTTTGGCGCCCATACCGGACGGGGTATGGGGACGGCCCGTTGCACCCTCATACCGGACGGGGTATTGAGGTTTATGATTTTGGCGCCCATACCGGACGGGGTATGGGGACGGCCCGTTTCACCCTCATACCGGACGGGGTATTGAGGTTTATGGTTTTGGCGCCCATACCGGACGGGGTATGGGGACTGCCCTGGAAACTGATTATGAATGTTAAAGGTTAACGGGTAGCGGGACCCCTATGGACCCCCATGGATACTAGTAGGCTGGTAAATGAGAAAAGGATATGTGGTATAATGATTGAATTACAAAAGGCGTGATAAGTGCTATGTTTTACAGCTTATATTATTCCATGATTGTGATAATGTTATTGTTTTCTTATATTGTTTCATGAATTCCACCGAGGTAAGTGGATGGTAAAGGTTTTATCATAAATAAAAGGATTTGTTGTAAATCATGCTCCATTTGTCTTTTGTGTTTTTCTACCCACCTTTACCTCCGTGACGGTGAGATATCGTGATGTTCTTACTGGGCTAGTGTAGCTCACTCCTTCTTTAACCATTTCAGATCAGGAAGACATGGTTCCCGAGCCCGTTCCGCAGGAGGACGACGAAGGGGATGCCTAGAGACTCTGTAGTCATACTCATAGTTTTATTTTCGAGTTTCTCTTTTAGTTAGTTTAATCTTTTATATTTTAAGTACGTTTTTGGTTTTCGTGTAAGGGATGTTAACTGAAATTTTGATCTCGCTTCCGCATTTTATGTGTTTAAATACTCATTTCATTTTCACATTTCCGGGGTCTTTACAGTTGGTATCAGAGCCGCGTTTCCTCGGACCCATCCCTTACACAATAGTGCCTTAGATAAATACTCACCGATATATCGTTACTCAATCATTCCTGGTGAATGCAGGTACACAGGAATGAGGAGAGGAAGGCCCCCACTAAACCGAGCAGCTCAAGATAATTCGCTTCGGGAGGATCTTGACAGACTGTATGAGATGGTGGAGGCTCTCGTAGCTGCCCAGCGAAGGCAAGAGGAGAGAAGGGAGTTACCGGGACCTCCTCCGCTAGCACAGGTTGAGCCCCCG